TGCAGACGCGGACAATAAGGTATCAGTTCAGTAATAATCATAACGACGTGTAATACTTATCACGTATTATTACGACAGTAATAATCATAGACGGCAATAACTCAAAAACCTCTTACCCTAAAAAGATCTAAAGTGAGTTTCCTACAAAAAGACGAAGCTGGTTATGTTTCACCGCTGTCTTTCTTTTTTTTTTTCGCTCGACATTACGAGCACTGCTCCATTTAAGCCCTCGCAATAGCCTATGTGTTTAGCCGGGAGAGTTCGCGCTGAGAGGAGCTCTGCTTATTTTATTTTTTTCGTTTTTCTGCTCCGCTCAGCGCGAGCTCTCCCTGTTGCGAGGGCTTAAGTGCGTGTGTGTGTGTGTTTGTTTGTTTCTTTGGTGCTGTCTATGTTTGTGTATGTGTTTGAATGAGAGACAGTGTGGTACTGTGTGTCTGTGTGTTTATACAGACAGCTTGTTATAGCCTCCCCCCTTAAATATAACACTGTATATGGAAAGCATCGTCAATGCACCGAGATATCGAATTGAACCGAAGGCATGATAATCGTAACCGAACCAAACCGTGAGACCAGTATAGGTTCACACCTCTATCAATTCACCTGTACCACATGTCTTTGGACTTGGGGGGGAAACCGGAGCGAACGCAGGGAGAACATGCAAACTCCACACAGAAACGCCAACTGAGCCGAGGCTCGAACCAGCGACCTTCTTGCTGTGAGGTGACAGCACTACCTACTGCGCCACTGCTTCGCCCTCTTGACCAAAGTTATACAGCTTAAAAGTAAAGCTAAAAAAATACCAAGGAAATGGATGTAAACGTTTGTCTCAAGAAATTAATAACAAATTCTCAAAAAAGAATTCTCTCATTATTCTGGCATTTAGCAAATGTAAATCATTTAGGTAATCCTAACGGACCTAAAATAGTAAACATTAAGTATGATTTACCATCAGACATTCTTTTAAAAATCCTTTTTTTAGAGTGTAAGTAAATTTTTGGATTCAACTGTATCTGTAATTCTAAAGCGTAAAAATGTTTCCTTATTCCACACTGCAAAAAATGCTTTTCGTACTTGTTTGTTTGTTTGCTTAAACTTGTCACAGAAAGAAAATGTGTCTTTAAGACTAATGACATAAATTAGAAAAAACACACATAGCAACACACTACAAGACAACCGCGTAAATGTAAAAACTACCTTAGCCCCATGCATACTACAGATCATTCTCAACAAACAATGATCCAATTCAGAACGACAACAGCAATTTGGGACAAAAGACTCTTTCAGAATCAGAAAGAGCTTTATTGCCAGGTATGTTCGCACATACGAGGAATTTGTTTTCGTGACACAGCTTCTACAATGCAACAGAATTACAGAAACAGGACAATAAACAGAAAATAAATATATAAAAAGGCAGTAAGAAATGAATGCAAATATACAAATAGACAAGTGTATGTAGAGCTATATTACTATATACAATGTTATATGTGCAGCTGTTATGTGCAAATTGGCATGTGAAGTGTGTTGTTAAATAAGTGTATATGTGTATAAAAGTGTATGGCAAGTAGTGATGTTTATTCCACAATTACTATTATCAAGTGTTCATGAGATGGATTGCCTGAGGGAAGAAACTGTTTCTGTGTCGGGCTGTTCTGGTGCGCAGGGCTCTGTAGCGTCGAACAGAAGGTAACAGTTCAAAGAGGCAGTGTGCTGGGTGCGAGGGGTCCAGAGTGATTTTGGCAGCCTGTGCTTTGGCAGCCTGTGCTTAATACATTTTCTAAGCATTTCTTCAGGATCTAGAAAGTCCTGAAGGTAATATTTCAAAAGCTGAATGGAAGGGATGTGTATGATCTTTAAAAAATTGGTAAATAAAATCAGCAGTGAATGTTGTCTGTAAACAGTTATCTTAGGGCCTACTCACACTATGCCATCCGTACCGTGCCCAGGTCCGTTTCCCGGATCGTTTGTTAAGTGTGAGCGCTCTGAATCGGGCTCAAGCATGAATTGGGCTTAGGCATGGTTCACTTGGCCGGCCCTGGCCAGGTTGGAAGAGATGTGCCTGGGCGCGGTTCACTTGAGATTTGGCGCGGTATGCTTGTGTGTGAGTGCAAAACGCGCCAAAGCCCAAAACTGAAAGTGAGACATGACTTTTAAGGGACTGTTTCATATAGATTTATTAATCATTCTTACTGTTGAGTGAACGCAAACTGTCGTAGTTTATTAAATACGCACACCCCTCACTGCACGACAGCTGCACGGCTTCAGCAAACCTCCTAATTCCTGCAGCACAAGGGCTTTATGGTTGTTTATGAGTGTCAAAAGTGGCTGATCTGTTCGCTGAAATATCTGACTGCGTCTCACCGCATCCCTAAGGTCTAAAGCGAAATAACTAGAGAAATGTCCACTGTGTTGAGCGAGAGCGTTTACTGAACAGTGCAGCATCGATGACGTAAGCGTGCCCAAGCCCGATTATAATGTGAGTGCGGGCTGTCGAGGGAGACGGGAGGGGGCACAAGCGTGCTTTGGCCCGATTCGAGGCAACTGTACATAGTGTGAGTACGGCCTGATTGATAACTTGCAATCATTTCTTCCTCTGCTGTATTAAGAAAGGGGTTCCCAAACTCAGTCCTGGAGGGCCAGTGTCCATCATATTTTAGTTCCAACTCCAAATAAACACACATCAACCAGCTAATCAAACTCCTTCTAGATATACTAAAACTTCCAGGCAAGTGTGTTGGAGGGAAGTTGGAGCTAAACTATGCAGGACACCGGCCCTTCAGGACCAAGTTTGGACACCCCTGTATAAAGAATACTCTCTGAAGCACGGTGGCTCAGTGGTACGCCTCACAGCAAGAAGGTCTCTGGTTTGAGTCCCGGCTGGGTCAGTTGGCATTTCTGTGTGGAGTTTACATGTTCTCCCTATGTTGGCATGGGTTTCCTTCGGGTTCTCCAGTTTCCCCCACAGTCCAAAGAGATGCGTTGTAGGTAAATTGCATATACTAAATTGGCCTTAGTGTATGAGTGTGTGTGCAAATAAGTGCGTATGGTGTTTCCCAGTACTGGCTTGCAGCTGGAAGGGCATCCGCAGCATAAAACAGTTGCTGCATAAGTTAGCGGAATGTGGTGATCCCCAATAAATAAGAGACTGAGCCAAAGGGAAATGCATGACTGAAGAATACTCTGAATTAATGATCTATATTCCATGTTTAAAGTCTGTGTACGAACATTAAAACTTGCAGAGGAGACCAAACAGATGATTCTTTTGAATCATTCTTAAATTATTAACTTCTTTTGTTCAATGAAACTAGTGTGAATGATTCACAAACTGGAGAGATCTGGGGCTTCCCTAAAACATTGTTAGCCAACTGTGCTCGTTAAATTTGAACATTGAACTGTAACTTCATTCATTGCTTTGCTTTGACCCTGTCCATTTTGACTGACACATTCTGATTCAGTGATTCTGATTTCCCCATGTGTACCTGCTTTAATGTCTCTCAGTAAATGATATGTCCACATGTGTACCTGCTTCAATATCCCTCAGTAAATGATATGTCCACATGTGTACCTGCTTCAATATCCCTCAGTAAATGATATGTCCACATGTGTACCTGCTTCAATATCCCTCAGTAAATGATATGTCCACATGTGTACCTGCTTCAATGTCCCTCAGTAAATGATATGTCCACATGTGTACCTGCTTTAATGTCTCTCAGTAAATGATATGTCCACATGTGTACCTGCTTTAATGTCTCTCAGTTTTAATGACTCTGTCAGTTCCTCCTGTGGCCAACAGGTTTGTACTGGTGCTGAACCTCACAGCATTGATTCCCAGATCATGAGCATCCTGAAACACAATACACACACATTTGTTTAGTCAATTCTTCAAATTTACATTCCTGTATTTCAGTGACACTATTGCCCAAAGTGATTTGCACGGTATTTATATATTTATTTATTTCATTTTCTTTTCGGCTTAGTCCCTTTATTAATCTGGGGTCGCTACAGCGGAATGAACCGCCAACTTATCCATCATATGTTTTATGCAGCGGATGCCCTTCCAGCTGCAACCCATATCTGGGAAAGATCCATACAGTCATTTATACCCATATACTACGGACAATTTAGCCTACCCAATTCACCTGTACCACGTCTTTGGATTGTGGGGGAAACTGGAGGAAACCCGCGCAAACGCAGGGAGAACATGCAAACTCCACGCAGAAACACCAACTGATCCAGCCGAGGCTCGAACCAGCAACCTTCTTGCTGTGAGGTGACAGCACTACCCATGGGCCACTGCATCGCCCTATATATTTGTTTGTTTCATGCATTTTTAGGACCACCAAAAACACGTATGGGACTTCCTGGCAATCTTTCTAGGTCAAAAGACTGGAATACCTACAGTAGAAATCCTAAATGTTTTTGAAAAAATAAATAATAGAAATAGCACACTTCTATAAAAAAAATTAAAGTAAATCTCACAAATAAATAATTAAAATACTGTGAGAACTAAAAATGTAGAACGTTTTAAAATAAAAAAATTCAAATTTAATTATATTTATTTATTTTTTTATGTTTTACTTTTATAATTTAATTTATAAAAATAAAAATAATTTAATTGGGTTTAATTTATTCTTATAAAAAGTAAAGCTGTATTGTGTACTGAAATCGTTAAAAATCATGTAAAATTATAGTGATAATTATCATATCATCATAAATGTTGAATGCATGTAACATTTTGAAATAAAATACAAATACAATCAAAAGTCTAAAGTCATTTTAAAAATAATAAACTAACTAAAATAATAATTCTGAAAATTCAGCTTTGCCATTACAGGAGTACATAACAACTTAAACAGCTTAAATTCAAACAGTTAATTTAAATTCTAGTAATAGTTCAAAATATTCAAGTGAAACCGATCATTACATACAGTTAAAGTCATAATTTATTAGCCCCCCTGAATTATTCGTCCCCCAGTTTAATTTTTTCCCCAATTTCTGTTTAACAGAGAGCAGATTTAATCAACACATTTCTAAACATAATAGTTTTAATAACTCATCTCTAATAACTGATTTATTTTATCTTAGTCATGATGACAGCAAATAATATTTTACTAGGAATTTTTCAAGACACTTCTATACAGCTTAAAGTGACATTTACAGGCTTAACTAGGTTAACTAGGCAGGTTTATTTAGGCAAGTTATTGTATAACGGTGGTTTGTTCGGTAAAAAAAATTGCGTAAAGGGGCTGATAATTTTGTCCCTAAAATGGCATTTAAAAAAATAAAAACTGCTTTTATTCTAGCCGAAATAAAACAAGACTTTCTACAGAAGAAAAAATATTATCAGACATACTATGAAAATTTCCTTGCTCCGTTAAACATTTAGGAAATATTTTTTAAGAAAAATTTAAAGGGGGGCGAATAATTCTGACTTCAACTGTCCTTGCTGTCAAAAGAAACTTTTTTCAAACATGGTATTCAGATGACACTTTGAGATAGAATATAATATAAAATATCATAATGCAATTGTACACGTGGCTCGACTGTGTATATCTGTGTGTGCGCACAACCATGTGTCTGACTTTGAGGAACTTCACTTCCTTCTATTTTTACCACAGCACAAGTGTTATTAATAATAAGAGATTAATAAGATGTTTTCATGCAGAGCACTAAAGTGAAACAACAAAAGAGGAAGAAGCTTTACTGTGGCGTAAAAACTACTTTAAAAAGCAGCGTATGATTTTACACTGCAGGAAATGAAAGATGCAGGTGATAAACATTGTAATAACAGTGCATCAGAAATACCGAAAAACAAAATACATGAGCTATTTACTAGAAATAATATTGGTTTGTGTTTTATTGTTGAAGAAGCCTGAAATGGATTGTGCTGGTCAATATGAAGTTGCTTTACTTTGTGAAAATGGAACTTTTTTTCTTCTACTTCCACTTTTACTTCAGTACATATTTTCGACGAGTTAAATACTTTTACTCTGAGGTTTTTCATGCGCTGCACTCATTACAATTATAAAAATGTTAGGGATCATTCCAAACACACATTAAGACTGCCGGATGGCTCTCTACAGGTTTGAATAAGCTCTCTCGTCACAATTCAGACGGTCAAAGAAAACAGTGCTGCCTGCCTGCATTGAGAACACTTTAGTTTGTTTTCGACATGGAAAACCCAAAAATTCCACCTTCTGCTCCTTCAATTTTCAACTGTTCGTGGTGATGAAAAAGAAGACCACCGTGGCCCTATTTAGAGTCCATGTTTGATTTGTCAGAGTGAAAGAAAATTCATATAGAATGAAGTGCATACTCTGCCTGGCGAAAGATTGTGAAATAAAGACCTTTGAAAATACACTGTCGAATTTGAAGAAACATATCAAGGTAAGTTACAAATATAATACACAAAACAAAGCAGTTTGAGCTATCCGTGAGCGCTAGATAAGTTAAGTAACGTTAGCTACCCTGGGTTTATAGTATGCTGCAATGTTCACTTAACATTACCTAGCTGGCTGTGAATGGTGTTTTTGACCATCATATATTTATATTTATATAATAAATCGTAAACCATGTTTCTTTTCATTCTGCTTGATCACATGCCCCAGAAAATATTTTTATAATAAACAAAACAATATGATGTCTTTTGACTGCTTTTTTTAATAACTACATTGCACAATACTTGTACTTTTACTTTCAGTATTTGAGTAGTAAATTTTAAAATAAACTAATAGCAATACTTAAGTACAAAAATGTTGAATACTTTAGTACTTAAGTATGGTGCTTAAAGAGCACTTCAACTTCTACTCAAGTCACTTTTTTGATAAAGCATTTGTACTTTTACTTAAGTCTGGGTCTCTATTACTTTATACCAAGGTTATTATAGTTAACGAAAACGAACGAAAAAACTCAAACTAAAATGCAAAATAATTGTCGTTAACTGATGTTACGGTCCGTGGGAGTTTGTATTTTTGTGCCTTCTCCCTCTCTGTTTTGCTTGTCTCCTTTCGCTCCCTTCGCATCTCCTTGTCTGTCGTTCGCTCTTTGTCTCGCCTCATCACTTTTTGTTACGCTATTTTTTCTCTACTAGGTACCTGCTGATTGGATCCCGAGCCTGTCACTCCTCATTAAGGCATTTCCTCGTGGACCAATTGGACCTTGTTTTTCAGAGTGCTATGTGTGTGTTGGTTTGGGTTCGCTCGCTTCTGTTCATACTGTATGCTTTGTTCTGTGTTTCTGAATAACTGTACATCGATGTAAATTAAGTCATGGTTAAAGAGTTCATCATTCCTTTTTGGGGAAAAGGGAATAGTTTATGCCTGTAGGTAACTTCAATGTTCAGAAACACTAGGTAAGTGGGTGAGCCCCACAGTTTGTATATTTGCTTATTATTTTAGGGAGTTTTTGTGTGGTTTCGCAAACGCTGAAGATTTCGGTTTCTTTTTCACATTTGGATTTTTATTAGTAAGTTTAGAGGGGGATCTTGTGTTCTAGTTTAGGTGGCTTTTGGTTTTGTTTAGTTCTTTGTTTTGGCGCCACTCTAGTTCCTTTTCCCCTAAAACTTTTTGATTGTTTTTTTTTTTTTTGTTATTGTTATATATATACATTGTACAAAGCACACACATGTAAGCCTCTCTTTTGCTGACGTCATCTTTCTTCTGCTTGTAAGAGGAATAAACGTATTGATTGTTAAGTTTGTGTCCTGGTGTATTTTCCATCCATCTACTCAGTAATAATTTAATATTATAAGTGTTCTATTTATTCTTCCAAGACAACTTATTTAAATCGTAACAACTGAAATAAAAACAAAACGAGAGTTTTTAAAAAAAACTAGATCTAACTGAAACTATAGACCTTTTTCTTGGAACGCAAAATTACCCATTATGCTTTGCGTGTATGCACAAAGAGAATGCGAAGAACTTCCGGTCGGCAGCTGATGCTCACATTTGGACAGCTTTGAAACGATGGTTTTAATCTATTTTACCAGCTTTTATCCTCTTTGAACTAATACTGTTGTCCATCAGTACCATCTCCTGGACTGATCATTTAAAGAAATGCGATCTAATAGGATGGAAAACAGCTGCTGTGAGGCGTTTTCCCCTCGTTGTCAGACGGCATCTTCTGCAGTTTAAATGAAGCCTCGTCATCGCTAAAGTCAACATTTTCTCTTTATTTCAAATATATAACCAGTCTAGACAAATGTAATTCAGCAAAATGTTTGACACACACACGTAGGCTGTACTGTGCCACTGACACACTGATTTAATAACTGTGACAAAGTGAAAATATAGGCTAGAGTCATTTCGAAATGACAGAAAAACACAAACCGTGGTGAATACAACACACGAAATAAAACACAAACAGCTCGCGATTAGAATGAACAGCAAATCAGCCAGCAGAGTATCAATAACAGACTTTTATTGGTCATTTTTGTAAATTGCACGACTTTCATACCTGTTAAGTTTCATGCCAGTACTCTGGTTTGCTCTCTCTCTCTCTCTCTCTGTGTGTGTTTAAGAGCCGCTGAGCTAACACTGTATTTCTGACGGCAGACACGTGAACTAGTAGAACGTTTTTTTCGTATTTCTGACCTGCTTGAACAACATGTGACAGATTAAAACGGCTTTAACAGACATTTTTCTAAGTTGTGTGTCACAAAAACACTCTGTTATCTATTAAAAACGTCATTGAAACCCATTTTCGGAGCGCAAATTACCAGTTGTACACGCTGTAAATGGGAGTTTTTAGCATTCTACCGGAAGACGCTGGTCGCTATGGTGCCCTCCATGCAGCAGCCATTAAAAAAGTCTATATTGTGTACATACAAAACTAACTGAAACTTAC